AGTATAGGTAGCAGTCCCACAGTAACTGTTATGTTACACTGAGAGTGAACAGGAAGATTTCTGGAGTAGAAGAAGCAAAAATTAAGCGTACGGTAGTAGTAAAGATGGTAGCTTTGTCCCAACTCAGTGCTACTACTGCTACAGTACAGTACAGTGTGTTTCATTTTTTGTTCTCTGTTCTGAGACACTACTGGACTTGTCTTATCACTGTCTGATTTATTTATTTTCTCCTTCATGTTGGGCCTTGCCTTTAGGGACATCACTGCACACCCGCCTTCTCAAAGTCAATCATTTTCAGTCTGCTTACCAGTATCTTTAAATGTAGTGAATTTAGTCACTTTTAGTGTGAATGCACTGCATACTGTACATGAAGCCTTACGGTGTATCTACAGCGGAGGCTTAGTGTAAGTAACACATCAGCAGCAGCTTCATTTCTCCATCTCTTCTCACAAATAGATGTGAAATGTGAAAATACACTTCAGGTCATGTTTGCCTACACTGTTATGTGGCATGTGTAGACAGCTGGATTTATCAAAATAGCAGTGGACCGTCTTCCTTCCACCTGATGCATGTGAGACGAACAGCTGCTGGGTATTGGGTAACGGGTGTCCCTGCAGTCATAGACAGGCCTAAGTCTGGATATAGTAAATTTCACCTGTACTTTCACCAATTTTTAAAATCCTTTTATTGAAAGCAAAACTTACTATACATATGTGCATTTACTGGGTTAACCACACCTGTCAGTTTAGGGCCTTTCAGCCTGAATGAATGAAATGTAGGGCTGGGAATGTGTGTTCAGCAATAGCTTTCTGCCAATTATTTGAACAGTCAAAAAATATGGGGGGTGGTGGGGGTGGCAGCCAATGATGGACCTGCCCTTCTACTCTCAGGTGTTTCTGCAGGAACAGGGATTGGTAGGAAATCAGTAAGTGGAATAGAAGTAAGGGAGACAATCGAAAATGGCGATGCATGATCACAAAATAACTCCCTGGAACAGACTGCACATCACAGATGGATGGATATAAGAGTAGCCGAGGCTGGAGGTCTCCCTCTAAGTGTACAGTTATCACACTGTCAAATCTCTGTGGAGAAAAGGCCATAATAGCCCCATTCTTAACTTCATTTCATTGCGGCTTATGTGCATTATTCTCATCTGCCCCTGTTGCCCTCGCACAGCACAACAGATACAGATCTATAACTACTCTACGATCGCCATTCTGGAGGGAACTGGGGGGAAAAGGGCTTTGTTAGGCTATGGGTCCCCACCTGCATGGCTGTACTGCTGCGCTCTTGCATGGGTAAAGAAACAGCCATACACACTGACCTCAGAGCTGTTGTTTAATCACCAGGGCATTTTAATGGCTTGTCAGAGTAATGAAATATGGTTTGAGGCTACCTGGTGCAAACATTACGATAAATCCCTCTCACACAAGCCTACGCAGGGCTTAATGGTTATAAATCATCACTTTGGGGAGAGAAAAATGACAGCTATTAAAATAATGAATGGGATGATTAATTTTTCACATTACAGATTAAAAGATATTAGAGGTATCATCAGATATTTGAGCTGCTGTAAATGTTTGAAAGTAGGAGCTTATTTTCCGCTCTTTATGATGCCCTCAGTTTCTTCACTGTCATCCAAGTTTCTGTCCCTTTTTTTTATTTTATTTTATTTCCCCCCCCCCCTTTGCTCTGTGTGCTGGCTGGGTGCACCCGCCAACACAGGGATTCCTTACACCTAATTTGTGCTCTTGTAAAAGTGCTCTGAGGAAAAGCCTTGAAGAACACTCATTGCTTGAGGCAGTACAGGACCCTCTCAGCTTCTCTGCAGGGGCTCCTCAAGGCTCTCACCAACATTATTTCATACCTCTAAAGCTGTCATACCTATAGCCTTTCACAAGAAGAATAAGAAGAGCTGGCCTGAGGTAGTTTGCTTTGTTTTTTGGGCAATTCTTTTCCCAGCTGTTCCTGTCAGTTTCCTCCGCTTCATCTGTTCTGTTGCTACTGAGAGCTGATTAGTCAACTTTCTGCTTGGAAATGCATGTCAGACAAAGACAGTATATAATAGCACATGCTCACTGAACTGGCATAATTCCTCATGTATAGACAAACTATGACAAGCTTTCTCTCCCAGTCAGCTGGCTCCCAGGAGAAGGTGTGCTAGTGCACATACAATACGTACATTCCTAATTTGGCTTTCATTTCCAGGGGGCCCACCGTGTTGTTCAGACATATATCACCAAAATTGCAAGGCGAAAGATTAAAGGGGAGAAGCGTAATTAAAACATTAATAACCATTCATGTTATGGAACATAAGTAATTGAGTTTTTGATGATGAATAGGAATGTAAACAAAAGGCAGGAGAGTAAGAGGTTCAATTAGGTATTCCAAGTAGGACTGTGCTTCAGCAGAGATGTCAACATAGACTTCTCCCACCGTTGCCCAATTATTTTTGTGTTCCCAGGCAATGATAGCATTGCTTGTCCATCTACAGCCTTCAAAGGGGATATTCAAATCGTCTCACTGAAGCAACCGTTCCATTTGTTGGCAGAGAATAAATAGTTGGCTGGAAAATTTTTTCCTCGCTCAGAGCAAGCCAGGTATTTGTGCAGCTAAAGTTATTTACAAAGCGGTGGGAAATTTAAACGACTCCCCTGGCGTTTCGGCATGCCTCTTTTTTTTTCTCCTTTGATTTCTCCTGTTGTATGTGCATAGGTGTGTGTGTGTGTTTGTTTTCTGCTGTTTCCATTTCACGTGTTGTCACCAGAGATGTTCATGATGGCCGCCCACACCTTCTTCATGTTCTTCTGGCTCTTTCCCCCCCGTCTGCTAATGAGCCAGAGACACCAAATAAAGGGCCACTGAAACAAAATGGCCACCTTAGCTGCCCACTTATATCTCAACCCTCCCCTCTCGAATCAATTCTGACATTTCATTCTGCCCTTATAGAAGGTAATGGTGCATTCAGAGGTTGTTACCGGTAATGTTGAAATGGTATTGCTTGGTTTCATTGGGCAGACGTACTGTAACCTCTGCTTCAGCTCCTCTCCCTCTCTTCACTGTACCTCTTGTTGTTTTTCCTCTCAGACTGAGACGTTGGTATTTACCGGTTCAAATATCTCGTTTGGCACAAGTGGGAGCAGCATTTTTCATTTTCTGTTAACAAGTAACCAACCAGTGTTTGTATTTTCCTCCTACTTTTGTGTTCACACAACATGAAGTGCAAATACACCCTTTTAAGTCAGCTAGTCAATATGCTGTTTCTAATATATTATTTACTGCCTATGGGTCATATATCAGAATGCACTGAACAACTGTTTCGGTTTTGCAGTCATAATCATGTAGAGAGAAATCACAGAGCCAGATGTCTGGCCCTCGTTTTACAGCATTTATGTTTCCCTCTGAGTTTATGTAAAATTCATCCTTCCCTGTTTTATTTATTCTCCCGTTTTCACAGACTCAACAGTTAGTCAATTCCCAATCAACAAAAGAAAAGGAATTGCTTTTAATTACTTTTGATAAATGACAAATTGTGTTGGCATGGCTCCCTGCAAATGCTTAATCAGGTGTGGGGTGGGGTAGGGAGGCGGGTATCGGGGGAAGGGATTTCTGCTGGGATGAAATCAATGCGCTTTCTCTGTGGTTCACCGGCTGGGCTTCTGGGCAACAGCCAACCTGAGGCCTGCGAAGATACAGAAGTCAGCAGAAACACCAGCCGCTATATGAGAACAGTCGCACACTGAGGCATAATCATACTGTAGTGCTGAAATGTATGTGCTGGACATATGGGCTGTGTAACAGTCATATACGGGGGTTGTAACGCTCGCTCACAAGATTAAATACAAACAAATTCATGTTTGTAGGTGATGTGCAATAATTGTATATTCATAAACATCTACGCACTAATTTATTCCAATAATAACACGTCTTTAAATTTGCTGAAAATAAGATTTTTTTTTTCTTTTTTTGGTAAGGTGTAAATAATGTGTTCAGCTCATTTTTCCTATAAATGCTTCTATTTCTATTCTGTTTCTTAGCACTCAACAGCTTGGAGTCACAGTGAGGTTACTAGGTTTGCTACAACTGGGTGTGCACAAAGACCAAAACACAAACTTGCACTCACCAGCTACAGCCCATACTAGATGGAGAAGCTGCACAGCAGCTGTTGGGCCGATGCATAAACTGTCACCATATAGTTCCAGCATGTAACGCCACCTAGAATTACAAACTGTTGTGTTTCCATTTCTGTTGGTGTGTATGGATTATGTGTGTTTTTTGTCCTTTGAGGCTCGTTGTTTCCCCTGCTACCAGTCCTTCCATGTCCTGACTGGAGTTCCATACTTAACACAGTCATAAGAGTTGTACTGAGAATACATCTAGAAATCAAATTGTTGTATTTCAGGAAATGTTGAACTATTCCTTCAATACAAAGTCTCAGATTGTATTAATACTTAAAACAAGTAAGTTCTGGCATTCACAGTCAAACTCAGGAAGGTCAGTGCAGTAGTACTCTCAGCTAAATGCACTTGTGTACCAAAAGTAAATGTGAATTATGCTCAATTGCCCCTTTTACAGTGTTACCCTAATATACACACCATATTTCAGATTATGAGTTCATGTTAATGAGACATTTATGTGTATGCAGCATTTAAGTTTTACAGCCAGAAAAATTCAACCTACTGCTATCCGCGTACTTTGTCCCATTGGGAAGTTTAGTCTGTACAGTGGTGTCAGGATGATCATGTGTTTCAGTTGAAGATCTTAAAAAGTACACTATGAATGTTACAGCACTGTAGTGGAGTTAAACCTCCTATATTTACCTGAACTGTACGGGTACAAGGTACAAAGCACCTTAAAATGGAAGTAAAAATTCTGTACTTAGCATTATCTGATACTGACAAATAAATTACCTGTTATTTTATCAGCTGCGTAACTCACTTGTTCTCAAGCAAACAATGAAATGCAGTTTAACCTGAGCTTTATTTTTCCCCTTTTTACAGGGTTCAGCACCACCTGTGGCAGCAGCAGCGAGTCGAGTGACCCAGCGTCAGGCCGACCGGCTTTACCTGTACATGGAGACCCCCAGCTGGGCAGGTCAGCCTCTCAGCATCTTCTTTAGGTCTTCTTGTTTGTGTGTTGTGCTCTGTAAATCCTCTCTGTCACACTCCTACTGTACTTGTGGTTTATTTCCTTTGGATCGAGTAGTGGTGAAAAAGTTTGGCTTGTTTGGGTTCACACCGATCATATTTGTGCTTGGAATCAAAGTGTTCGATTTGCTATGAGACACCAGCAAAAATCCAAATGAGAATTTGTTCAGCCCGCTTTGAATATTATGTTTTGTAGCTCCCAAAACTCATTAACAGCCAATATATCCAGGTGTAGATAGAAAATGGAGCATGATCTACAAATGCATGGCCTATTTTCTCCTTTCTCATTTACTTATAAAACATTGTGCATTCTTTATGAGAAATTCAATGGATCCAGGGCAGCCAACATCACTTCCCACTGTTGTTCAGCAGTATTTGAATGTAGAAGAGGGCTATCAATTAACTGGAGCACTGCCAAATCTGTGGCATTTCCTGAAAAGAGCAATACTGATTTTTGGATTTTGAGTATGGTGAACTTCTCTGTGCATGATGTTCTTACCCATTACAAATAGAATACTTTGTTCTGCTGTGGACAACAGGTTCTCCAGACCAAACAATCAAGCAGATTGTTTTTACTTGTTCTTTAAAATGACGCATAATTATTGTCTGATCTGACGCCCCTCTCAGCAGGACGCACCATTCGCCAGTGCCTTTGCAAACTATGGCAAAGTTATTCATAACAGCCTTTTCTTATCTGCTACATTTAAGGCATAGTTGTGTTTAGGCACCTTGGTTTAAGGAAAGATTGTGGTTTTTAAGAAAGTTCTTTTTGCTTGGAGGAGAGAGACACCAGTGTTTACGGGAAGAAAACATTTGTCTCTTGTACTTGCTGATCTCCACTCTTAACTTGTGGCAGTGATGTAGAACTGTACTCCAGGATCTGTCAGTACACTATGGCATCACCGATGGGTGTGGTTTTTAGGCACATCACACCATACATCCAGCAGTTAAGCTGTTTGTGGTCAGAGGTGCGACACATATCAATCAGGCACAGCAATAACGTTCTGCTTTTCAGCCCTTGAGACAGTATCACCACACTCTGTGGTCACTCATCCATCCATCGGCCCAGTGTCACCTTCTTCTGTCTTTGATGCCGACAGCCAATAGTTGAAATTCCTTGTGGTAAATATAGGATGTTTGGGGCATATGAGATGCTGTCATTGTCTCGGGTGGTCATTCTGGTTTTGCGACTACTTTCTGTACATTTTTTTTGAATTTCATTTCCACTCCCACACGTAGTTCATTTGGAAATGAGACACATTTTTAGTATGGTTATTTGAATAGCCCTGTTCTCACCTGGCCTCACACTAAAAGCCAAAAGCTCCAGAGTTTGAGGAAACAGCTTCACGGCCTCTCATGTGGATGTGCCCTTACTGTAATAAAGCCTGTATGTATGCACGCCTTACTCTCCCCTATCCAGCCATATTGTGCTAATGTGTGCTGGTTAAGTAGCGGAAGACTAGAGAAAGACTCTTATCCATATGCCTGAGAGCCCAGGAGCCAATGTGATCTCTCCCCAGATGGAGCCCTCTGCCTCCCTGCCCGTGCTCCGCGGAGCCATATAGCAGGTGGCGGTGAGGATCAATGGGCTTCCACCATTACCTCCTCCCCACTTCACATCTCCAGCCTCATCTCCAGGGGGGGCCTGTGGGGCCTGCAGTGTGTCTCACTGCAGCACACCGGGAGAAATAGGGACGTTTTCCATTAGTCTAATTGCTCCGTTATAGTTCTATATTATTGCCGTGATCACCACTGTGGCTTGGTAATGATGGACCTCCCGTGCCCCCACGTATAGCTGGTGGGTGTTATGTCTCCCTCGTCACCACCCATTGAAACTCCAGTTGTAGTGGGTGTAGGAGGAGAGAATGAACTTAATGCTGAGAAGAAAACAGGAGAATAAACAACAAAAAAAGAAAAAGAGCTCTTCAAATGTTTTGATGTAAGAGTTTAATCAAACATCCTCAGCTATTTACATTCTCAACAGGTGCAGCATTTGGCTGATTTATGGGATAAACACTGGAGTTCTAGTGCTTGTTCATTTGCCTCCACTAAAAACTGGCAATATGAAGCTAATTTGCAATTTGCTGCTGCTGTGGCCACTGGTTAAGAATGTTTATATAATCATGATGTAATAAGAAAAATGAAAATGAGTTTTTCATGCAGTTCAGGCTCTGTCAAACACATCTCACGGACTTGCTAAATGATAATTACATTCCTCAAGAACAGTATTACATTTTACCCTCTTACATGGACTTTGTTCATGGTAAATGGGAGAGTATTATTTCCATTTTAAGGATATGCTACCCAGTATTATTCCAACATCTGCGCTGTCTTAGTACAGTAGCGATTTACCCTTACTTTCTTCTTTTGGTTTATAATACCTCATTTGCATACCATTGTCTCTTTTATGATCAAGACAGTGGAAAAGCTTTAGTTTAAGCTGGAGTGGACTAATCGGTGTTAAATATTTCACCGCTCACCTGTAGCCCTGTAGATCTGCACATAAAAGCTGCTTCCTGTTTTGAATTTCTTCTAATACAGTACAGTTGTTACTGATTGTCTTATCTTCTGTTCTTAATGAGAAAATCCTTGAGCATCATTTGTGGTTTTTTTTTTTTTTACAGGTGTGGGTATTGATCTTTGCCTTTGCTGCAGGGAAGTGAGTTCACTTAAAAGGCCCACAGATGTAGCAGAGCTTGCTAAACAAATAGGCCAGAGAACAAGGCCACAATCGCTTTGAATCATGAAGGAGGGTGCCTGTCTGAAAGCACCACTGTATCAAATATGAAATGCTCTGCTAACAAGGTGTGTAATCTATTTTAATCCGATCATATTTTATGAAACAAGGAGAAGGCTGAAGTTAAGTAAGAGAGAAAGATGGAGATTCTAGGGGGTTTGGGGAATGTATTTTGAAATTGGATGTGACGGCCGGGGACCATGACTGGATTTTACATGCATTGCCAAATGGTCAGTTATGGTTAACTTTAGAGGGAGCCGGAGCTTTGCTGTAATGAGAGGCTAATTCAGAGCCCACAACGCCTTGACAGGCTACAGAGCAGACCTGGAATATGGACAAAGATGTACGTTAGAGACTCTGAGGCTGAAGTATAGGCTTGTATTTGTCTTCAAATTGCTGGGTTGCCTGAGGCTATAACAGGGTCAACAGCAGCATAGCATATTTTCCTGAGTGTACACAAACAATGTCACAGACATAAATACAGTAGAGAAACATACTTTGCTCAAATGGAGAGACTCAACTCTCTCACTCGAACCAAGTGTTGCACAGGAGTGACTTCACAATTCAGGCCATGATCTTTTTTTATATATCTTTACACTGGCTGGGTTTGTGGGTGAGTGTTTTCAGTCATGGGTTTTTTTCTTCTTACTCTTGTGCCATAAATTGTTTCAGATCCTGTGACAGTAGACTTGGTTATGAATATATGAATACATATAGATGCACTACTACAAAAATCTTAAATTCCACCAGTCAGAAAAAGTAATAGAGAAGTATTAGGTACAGTTCTGGGAAGCATCGTTTGTTAGGAAGATTTGCACAGAGTTTAATGATCTAATGCTAATAAACAAATCAAATTTGTGATTTAAGCTGATGTTGACACAGTTATAGAATTTCTCTTCCATTTAGAAAAAACTAAATTCTCTGTTTCATAAATAGTCGGAGCTCTACACTGAGCCATGAGGTGTTAACTGCTGCCTTTTAAGTGCTGTTATCACTGAAGTACAACTTCTTTTTTACAACTGAAGCCAAATGTTTGCCCCAGTATCAAATGACATGTCAAAGATTTATACTTTTAAAACTGAAGTTGACTGTTTTACAGAGATTCTGCTCTTCCTAAACACTGCAGATATAAATAGAGACATTATTCCCTGCTCTGTGAGGCACCACTTGTAAGAAAAGCTTTTTGTTAACAAGGCCAGAGAACCTCCTCTGTTATCAGTTATTGTAACACCACTAAAATAAAGCACCAAAAGTGTTAAAAATTGAAGATGAGAAGTGCCGTGCAGTATAGCTCATTTTCTCTGCATTGTGTCATGGTAAATACTGTAGCATTATGAATCACCGGGACCCTAAGTGTGTTTCCAAGGCCTCTTTGCCACCACCACAGGGTTGATGTGGAAAAAAGGGAGAAGGAGAAGCAGAGGGAGGAACAAGACGGGTGCCTGCATCTTTAAAAGCTAGATGGAGTGAGGGAGTGGGGCGGACGGGTAGCTGGCAGGATTGTGCTGACGGCAGGGCTTTGGTTCAGAGCATGCCCATTAGAGGGAGCCATAAATCCTGGGCTCTCTGGGCCGGGCTGTGTCAGCAGTCCACTGAATGAATTGATTTTAAACGCCACTGAAAAAAAGAGAAAGTACGAGAGAGAGAGAGAAAGAGAAAGACAGAGAGAGAGTGACTATTTAATTCGCCCTCCGCCAGAAGCCCACACCCCATTCCACCCCACTTCTTAATTCAGGACTGTCATTGAAAAGGGGGAGGAGAGAGGTCTAGAAACACTGAAACTGTCACCAGCAACAAGCCCAGGGCTACACAGCCCCCACACGTTTGATTTAAACACGAGTGAAACGCACAAACCAAATACATAATCTCAAATTCCATACAGCATTTATTCTCTTCCACCCCTCTAATTTTTCCTCGCAGCCCCCTCTTTTTATGTCTCCACAAGAGAAATGAGACATAACGTAAAAGAAGAGGGGAAAAAGGCACCATTGCACTTGAAATTCAAATGTGTTGGATTTTGAAATTGATGTATGTGTTTGTTCATTTACGAGCAGCATCCATGTGTGCATGCATTTATATATTATCAGCACCAATGAAACGCTACATAGAAGGCTTTGCAGCCCATCTTTCTCCTCCTCGTGCCCCCTCTTCCTTGCTTCTTCATTGAGCTGCAGTGTTATGTTCAGCATAGCAAAAAAAAATAAAAAATT